GGACCCCCAAAGGGCCTCCCTGATGCAAGGGGTTAATCTCAGCCTTATGAAGTCACCTGCAGCACCTGTTCGATCCCCGGCCAGGGAGCTGACCCACATGGCACAGCACAACTCTCCTGTCTGCCCCTGCTTCCCTCAGCAGTCTGTTTCAGTAGATCTACCTGTTCTACCCACTGCTGTCTCTGGTGAATCTTCTCACCCCTTCCCACCTCTGGCCTACACCCCAGTTCTTGTATGCATCATGAAAATAAATCTTTTTTTTTTTTTTTTAAAGGGACCCCATGGAACTCCCTTGCCCTTTATGCGAGGGCACAGTGAAAAGACAGCTACCAGACACTAAATGTGCAGATACCTTGCCAGGGGACTTCCCAGCTTCCGAGACTTATGAGACATAAGTGTTTGATTTTCATAAGCCATGCAGGATATAGTATTTTATTATAGTAGCATGACGGAACTAAGGAACAGCCCTGCCTTCAGGGAGGGGAGGAAGCTGGAGACTGAATTCAATCATATAGCCAGTGGCTCAGTCAGTTATGCCTAGGATGAAGCCCTGATATAGCCATGGCCCCCTGAGGTGGGGGAAGCTTTCTGGTTGGTGAATACCAGGTGTGCCACAGGTAACATTCCAGATCCCAGGGGGAGCAGGCTCGGAAGCTGTGTGTGTGAGGCCCTCTCAGATCTGTCTCCCTTTGGCCCAGCCCTGAGTCCCTTATAATAACACTGTTACACTCAGTACGCTCTTACCTGAGCTCTGTGAGTCATTCTAGGGAATTACTGAAGCTGAGGGGAGCCATGCAGACCCTCCTGATTTGTGGCCAGTAGGTCGGAATCAAGGTGGCTTAGTGACATTTGCATTTGCAGCTGGTGTCTGGGAGCAGTTTGGGTGAGGATTGTGGTCTTCACCCTCGGAATCTGTGCTGACTCAGTGGCTGGTGCTGGAATTGCATTGGCATAACTGCCAAGGGAACACCATACCTTTGTCACCCAAGAAGTTTCTTCTGCGAGTTTACTTGTGCCAGGCAGGGTGGCGGGAGCCACACTTACCACCTAACTGTTGAATGTCATGTTACTAAAGGGATCAGAAGCTTAGAATACCACTGGTGTCAGAGGGGCGACACTGTGAAAAACACCCTGAGATGGGATGACTATTTTTAGGAGGAGGCACAGATTTGGAGGACCAGATTTTCACAAAAATTCATTCAACCAAGGAGGTCTCAAAGCTTCATGAAGTTAAGGGCTGCAAAGTTGTTTTTAGTCTTGCCTTAAGAGGTACTCCATTTGTTCAGATGGTGGGTCCCTTCTGGATGGAGAAAGAACTCAGGTGGAAGATGCCACGCCCTAGGCATCAGGTGTCCTAGGTGGTGCCAATTGAGTTAGCTTGGAGAACACAAGTGTCAGGTGAACGGTTAGAAGCACGTGAGGCTTGTGAGGGACACAGGCCACCAGGAGCAGGGGGAAGGGCTTGCCAACATCCTGGGTCCTCCTAGGGCTGGGGGGCCGTGCAGAGCCCAAGACTCCCCCTGGGCTATCCCTGCTGGAAGTCAGGCTTGCATCTGTGAGGGGCACTGCCTCTCGGCCCCAGAGGAACTTCTGCCTGGATACCATATGTTAAAGAGCAGCTTGAAGATGGGAAAATGGGTCTCTAGGGACCCCACATGGAGGGGAGGGGAAGAAATTGAACTAAATTTGGAGACTCAGGCATGGTGGGCTAGCAAGAATTCCTGACGGCCACAGTTACCAACAAAGTTAGATTTCCCTATAAAATGGAGTGGCTCCTGAATTCTCACTGTTAGACTGGCAGAGTGGGGGACAGAAAAGAGCCCCTTCTCACTGTGCTCTGGGATTAAAGAATGGCGTGCAGGCGGGCAGCAGGAGGTTCTCTGGAATGAGAGTGATGCAGGGTACCCAAGCCTCTGCGGCTCATTCCTGCTGGCCATGGTCCACCGGGGTCCACCTCTCTGCTTTCTGTCCTACACTGCCCACCCCATTTCCCAGGCAAGAACAGTGCATGCTGGAGCTAAGCAAAGTTAGGACTCACATTTCAGAAGACATGTGGCTTCTGTCTCAAGGCAATTTGTAATCGTGTTCCTCAAAGAATAAGAATAGTTTGATACAGAGAGGGGATTAGGGCCCTAAATTCTGCTCTTGGCCTCATTTCCTCCACATCTATGCTGTGAGAGGAGTCTGGGACCATGCTGGGGCCAGAGTGCTGGGCCAATTCCTGCCGCCCACAGCCGTGGCTGGCGGAGGAGGGTTACCTCCCTGAGGAACAGGTGGCAGACTGTCCCCAGACCCCTGTCCAGACTGCGGGTAGAGGTGGTCCCTAGTTCAGGAGAGCCTCTTAACAATCATGCGTCACCCACCCACCCCCGGTGATGGGGACTGGAGGGAGGCCCACTGCACACACTCCCCATTGAGAGGCAGGAGCCAGAGCAGAACCATCCTGCGAGCAGAGGAGGGGTGCGCACCCTTCACTTTGGCTTCGAGGTCAGGAGGCGGGGACTTCCCTTGGGCACAGGCAAGGGTCAGTCTTTGGTGCTTGGGTCTGATAGGACAGAGGAGGGCCCCAGGACTTTGGTACCCAGAGGCTCAGTCCATCAACAGGCAGTGAGTGTTCAGGGGTTCTGCCCCCACTTAACACTGCAGAGACCTCCAGGATAGAGAGATAGAGGGGTGCTTGGGGGTTCTGAGTCACAACTGCCTCTCTGCAGCCATGGGCCCAGGCAGGAGACAGACGGGGCATCAGGGAGAACACCCGAGGCAGAGCCGTGAGGGTGGTGTCCTAGATTCTGAGCCAGGGAGAGAGTACAGAGTGAGTGGGGAGTGGGTCTTGGTGGGTGGGTGATGGAAGGGACAGGCGTGGTGCTGGGTAGGGGTTGGAAGTGAGGAGGAGGTGGGTAACAGTTTATCCCAGTTAGGAAGAGAGCCCAATACCATACCCCATTGCGAAAGGTGGAGGCAGAGACCTTGGCTTCTCCCTTCAGCCTTTCCTCCATCTTTAAATGAAAATGACTTACTATCTCAGGGCAGCCATTTTTAAGTGTACAGTTCAGTAGTCTTAAGAATATGCCTGTGTTGGGCAGCTGTCTCCACCATGTACCTCTAGAACATTCCATTTTGTGCAACTGAAACCGTATCCATTACCGACGCCCATTTTCTCCTGGCCCAGGGCTCGGCAACCCCCACTCTTTCTGTTCTGGGAGCTTGCCTACTTCAGGTGACTCATGCAAGGGGCTCCTACAGTATTTGTCCTTTTCCAGCTGGCTCATTTCACTTTGCATTCGTCCTACGGGCCTCTGCTGCGTGAGGAGGGCCAGCCACGTCTGAGGCAGTGGGACCCCAGTGCAGGACAGACAACATGTTCACCCACGGGAATTCGACCAACACTCCGGTTGCTGTCACCTTTGGGCTACCTTGGAAAAAACCCCTGCCAACATGGGTGTGCAAATATCTATCCTTCCAGACCCTGCTCTCAATTCTTTTGGCGCATACTCAATGAGGACCTGCTGGATTACGTGGTTTTTCTATTTGTAACTTCTGAAGAATGACATAGTGGCACACCATTTGCCATGCCCGCTGTGGTTCCAATTTCTCCACCTTTTGCCATCTTTTGTTTTCCTTCCTTCCTTCCTCCCCGCCTCCCTCCCTCCCTTCCTTTCTCTCTCTCCGCTCCCCCCTCTCCCCCTCTTTAATAGCAGCCATCCTGTGGGTATCAGGCAGTGTCCTAGGGTTTTGACTGCGGACCCTGGTGCTCAGCAATGCTGAGCATCTTCCCTGTGGCCCCCCAGTTGCATCTCCCCTGCCCAACTACTCAGAAGCCAGAGTGTGAGCGAGGCTGGGGAGTGCAGTTATCTGCAGTACAGAGTGGACAAAGAAAGGCAAGGAGGCAGTGTGTGCCTGGGGGTGAGGGAGGTGGGGGGCACCGTGCAGAAACCAGCCAACGTCCCTGGTTAAAGAAGCTCATAGTGAACATTATGACGTCAGCGTTTCCGGAGTCCCAAGGAGGAAACTAAAACCCAGCGAGAGGAAGAGAGATGGATGGCAAGATCCCACAGAAAGCAAGAGGCAGAGCTGGGGTTTGAACCTGCGTCTGTCTGACTGCCAGTGCATTGGCTTCCTGCCACTGAGCCAAGGCTGTAGGGCCCTTGGCTGCTTTGCCCGAGTCGGCCCATGAGAAAGGTTTTAGGGGATCTCTTTGTTAGACTCGGATGGCAGTCTTTCTTGTTTCTGAAATAGCTAGGAACTGAAAGAGCAGAGCTTGGTGCGGGAGTCTGCGCTGGGGTGCGGAGGTCTTGGTGGCCCTGCCTTTGCCTGGCCAGGCCTCCATCCTCCCCAGACGACCTGGAGCGCCGGGTGTAGGGCTCATGGTGCTTTGTGCTTCAAGGACAAAGCGGAAGGAAGCCCTGGGGGCCCAGCGCCTAGCGGCCCCACACCATTCCCCACATTCCCTGGGCACTTTGCACATTCAAAAGCTATTTTAGAAGTAGCAGCACATCTGATTTCCTTTAATGCACTTCCAGGCAGCGCAGATGTGCATCAATGAAAGAATGTTCCCTGAACCAGAGTGCTTCTGTGGGCCTCATGATTCTCTCCCTCGGCGCTTACTCCCAGGCCAAGAGCGGCCCATGAATCATGCATGAGCTCCTGCGATCTGCTCAGCGAGGCACCGGCTCCCACAGAGGAAGGCGCGGGCATTGTGTGCCAAGGTGTAGTGGTAGGGATTCCAACTGGGACTGGGGGCATGGAGCAGAGGAAGCAAGCGGTCCTCAGAGGAGCAGGTCGAGGCCAGGGGAGGGGAGAGGGAGCCCGAGGCATCTAGACTCACTGTCACCAGTTCACGCGTCCACAGGGCGCTGGCTACACCCCTCTTGAAGTGCCCACCTGTATGTGGGCGTTTGGCGCCTGAAATGGTCCATATGGAGCCCGGGTTACACAGGGGAGGAGAGGAGGGAGGGACTGGCACATAGAAAACAAAGCTCAGTGGGGATGTCTCTCCCCAGGTGAGGTGACCACAAGACCAAAGAAGACGCCCAGCTATCTGCAACTCTCAGCTAAAGGGAATGGACAAAGCGTGGTATGACACAGACATAAATTAAGCACTGCAACTGCTTAATCCTGAAATGTGTCAGTCGACGGACAGATGACTGAGGGAAGATGTCTGATGTTTCTGTCATTTGCAAAAATATATTATTTTGGTTGTAAGGGGGAGGCCCACACACTCACGATTTAACTTTTAAAGGCAATTTTCGAAGTTCATTTTTAAAGTTTAAAAATGGAAAGGAACATGAAGTGGTCACTGAAAGATGGAAGTCTTTTCCTTCAGGGAAAGGCACGGCCGCGGGAGGGAAGCAGGCACCCAGAGTGGTCTCAGAGGGGCGGCGGGAGGGCGACTGGTCCTCACCGTGCAGGCAGAGCTCAGGTCCCAACTCCCAGCACACGCTACAGGCCCACATGCTGAAAATCCCCAAATTCTTTCTCTGGCTCATCATGTCTGTTTGCCCCCTGTGGGTATCCCGTGAGTCCTGAGGACATGAAACTGCCTATCTTTATTTTTTTTTTAAGATTTATTTTTTATGCATACAGAGCTGGGATATAGGCCAGAGATACAGGGGCAGTGAGAGGATTCACCAGAGACAGAGAGGGGAGCAGAACAGGCCGACTGATGAAGCACACTGCTGAGGGGAGCAGCAGGAGGGTCAGGAGAGGTCTGCTGTGACCCAAATGGCTGGGGCTGGGGACCGAACTTGCACTGAGGCTGCGGCCAGCTTGCAGTGCTGCGTCCCGACCTGTTGAGCCACCAGGGAGGGCACGGAACCGCCTATCTTAGAGGGGAACTTCCCCAGCCCCTGACACCTTGCTGGAATGAGGGCTCCAGGGAAATGGAGTCAGATCCAGGGTTTGTGAGACCTCAGACAGCTGGGGGATTACCTCCAAGGGGAATGTGAATGTTGGGTGTGAAAGTCAGAATTTAGAATGAGAAAGGAAATCACCACAAAGTATTAGAACACTAGAAGTTCAGGGCCTTTTCATCTATGTTCTTTGAAGGTAATTTACTAGACCGGTTTGATTCCAACCTGGATTCTCTCTCTCTCTAGAACACTCTCTGGCTCCCAGCCTCTTCCATCTATCTGACAGGGTCCCGCTGTCAGGTCTCCGTTAACTGTCCTGAGATCTGCCTCTGGAAGTCATGCTATCCAGAGAAGTCATGTCTCTGGCCTGGTTGGGATCTACCTGCAGTGGGATCCAGAGTCTGTGAGTAAGTGTGAAGCAGGGGGATTTGGAAAGGTCCAGAAATCCTGTACTTCAGGACTTGAGGCAGGAGGCAGCCTGGTCTGGGCTGGCCATTTCAGTCCGTGGAAACCTGGCTAACTGAATCATACTGTTTGCAGAAAGACCTGCAGAGAGAAGGGGACGTGTGAGCCAAGGCCTGGAGACAGCCAGGGCAGAGCCATCCAGCTGGGCTGAGGGGCACCTGGCTCAGGCCTCACGGGGTGGGGGAGGAGCCAGACTGACCCCAGCCCACCTCACTCCCAGCCCATCTCCTTGTAGGATTCCGGGCCAGTCGAGTGACTTTTGCGGCATCACAATTCTCTGGGTGGCCCGCCTGCTGGCCAAGAGAGTCCACTCAATCTGCAAGAAGCTCCTTCCAACCAAAGTGGCCAACAGAAAGTGGTCACTGTGCTCTCCTTGGAACCATCAGAATGGGGTCGGGGTGCTGCTTGCCCACCTGCACAGCTGACAGATGCATGTCTTAGGGCAAATCACTAAATTCGCATTGTGGCTTTTATTTATCACTCTTCTTGTTCTTGGTTCATGCCAGTTCACTCCGAGAGGGAGAGAAGCATTTTACTGTGCCACAAAATCGACACCCGTTGCAATCAGCTTGATACTATAAATATCACCTGAATGAATAAAATTGGATTTTTGAGCACGCTGGGGAGGGCTGAACTCAAACAATAACAAATTCCCAAGAAAACGGTCACTTCTTGGCCAGGCTGGGTTAGCAGCTGGCCTGTGCTGGGTTCCCTCTGATGTGCCACAGGCTTGGATGACAAAAACAACAGGAAAGAGGCTGAATAGTGTCCACTGCCCCCTGTGTATGTTGGAATCCCAACTCCCAGTACCTCAGGATATGACTGTACTGGGAGGGTCTTTAAAGGGAATGAAATTAAAACCAGTTCAGCAACCAGCTGGGCATGCCACCTTCAGGGATATGGAGTTGAGAGCGCTTGCCCAGTCTCCTCCAGGTCTATCTGCTGCCTACCTTCCAGAACCTTCTATGCTCCCCACCAGCACCATGCTTGAGGCGGCCCTGCTCCTCTCTGGTTTGCTTGGCCGGGCTGCAATTTCCCCCACCTCCCCTGTTGTGTGTTTGGAAAGCACACACAGGTTCTCAAATCTCTGCTCACGTGGAGTCCTCCACCCCCGTCCTTCTGGAAGGAGCTATGGAGGCCTGTGGCTACCACTGATTGCAATTCCAGCCACACATCAGGCTCATGCAGATGTCAATGAAGTTTATTCGAAGAGCCCAGGCTTGGCGCAGAACAGTCCAGCCCCTCCGCACGAAGCCGCCTCTGTGCACGCCTCAAATGAAACGAATTCTCCATTGGCTGCACCATCCCTCTGAAGCCACCACTTTCTGAGAAGATTGTGAGCTTCCGTGCACAAGAAGTCTCCAGTCTTGTTACAGCATTGTAGGAGATGAACGTGGTGGGGTATACCCAGCTTGGTGGAAATAAAGGGACTTGTGCACAAAGGGGAGAGAGGCCTTTCCTCACCACCTCTCATTTAATACGGGATCAGTGAATGGATACTTGAGTTAATAAAAATAAATAAATAAATAAAAAATAAAAAGAATTAAGATGCGGTCCTATGCGGACGTCCTGATAGGGGGTCAGGACAACCACTGGCCCTGTGAGGGCACAGGGAGAAGAGCTGTCTGCACCCCAAGGAGGGAAGCCTCAGGGCACCCCAACCCTGCCACTCCTGGTCGCAGACCTCCAGCTCCAGCACTGTGAGAATCCACTTTTGTTGCGATGGCGCCAGTGGCTCCTTGTTAGGCTCCAGCGCCGGAGCAAACGGACATCCCTCACTGCGGACACCCTGCTGACATCCCAGAGTCCTGCACAGGACCCCTGTTCTCCTGGAGCTCTCCTCTGCTCCTTGAACACTAGCTCTTGCCCAGGCGGGTCCTCCTCAGCAGCCAGATGGGGGTTTCCAAAGGCCACGCTGACCATTGTCGCTCCCAGCTAGAAGGCTTCCATGCCTCCCCAGAGGCCAGAGATACACCTCAGGCCCCCCCCCTGCGCCCCTGATCCGGAGCCTCATGTGCCAGAGCTCCCCATTCTTCCTTTGCCACAAGTTGCTGCAGCCCCATCCCTGCTCGAGCAGGTGACGCCCTCCATCAGTTTGACACAACCACAGGTGGGGGCGGCTGAAGCAACTGAAATCTATCGTCTCAGGGCTCTGGAGGCAGAAGTCCAAATGCAGGGAGTGGACAGGGCTGGTTGCTGCGGGCCCTGAGAAGGGGCTGGAGGCCACTGTTCCAGGCTGGCAGGAGACTGTCTCCCCCCATATCTCCGCCCATCACTCCTCCCATCACTCCTCCCGGGTATCACGGCATCCACTTGTTCTCTTCTTATGAGATACCAGTCATGTTGGGTGAGGGACCCCACAAACCATTCATCTTAAGATACTAACATCAGCAAGGGCCTTATTTGCAAATAGGATCACATTCTGGGGTGCTGGGCCTAAGACTGCAACATGAAACTGGGGACAAAATGCAACTCCTGACACTCGGGTGTGCTCTTCCCTCCTCGGGGGTGTTCTTCCCTTGTTTCTTTGGCCAATTCTCAGTCATCCTGGAAGAAGTACACACATCTACCACTACCTGGGGGCGGCTCCCATTTGTTAGCCTGGCCCCACCCTCCCCCATTCCTCACCCGTGGGCTTCAGGATCCCCCACTCTGTCCAAGTCCCACCCCAGCCTCACCCCTTCCCCCACACTGGGGGTCGGGAGGGCTCCATCTGTCTATTCACGTGGCCCTACCCCTGTAAGCCACGTGACCATCGGCACTCAGGGGCTAGCACCCCAGGGTTCCCCTCTGCCATGCCTTTAACTTAGATCATTACCTTCCTTCTCTTGCTGCATTTTTTTGTTTCCAGAATTAAAGGTGCTAAAATGAGCTTTCTGAACCTTTGGGAACGTGGAGACGTTCCTTTAGGAAACAGGAGACGCCTGTGGTAGGGGCCAGTCTGGCGTTCCTTGTATAGGTAAATTATTTCTTCAGCAGTACAGGGTGGAGGGGCTCCCTGGAGCAGCCCTCTGTGGGGACACTTTCCTTGACACTTAACTGTTTATTTGCACACACAAGCCCCTGGGCTCTGGGTGTGGGGAGAGCAGAGCTTGTGGCTCCCAGATACAAAGCAGGAAGAACAACACTAGCAGCTCACTTCTGGGTAGTTTCTGAAGCATGCTCAATACCCCGGTCTGATTTGACCCTTATTGAAAAACCCACACTGGCATGTTTTCTGTCCCCATTTTAAAGACGGCGAACCTGAGGCTCAGGGAGGTAGGTTGGAAGCTGGCCTGCCTCTTTGGCACAAGGTGATGAGAAAGGAAAGGGGCAGGGGTGTGACCTCAAGGTTGCACAAGGCACTGAGGTCCCAGGAGATGCTTTGCAGACACGGATGCAGAGGTGGGGGTGGCTGAGACCCTGCCCGCTCTTCTGGGGCCCGGTCATGTGGTCCACGGTCAGCATCTGCGGCTGCCTGTCTGGGTGGTGTCCACCAGACCCCCACTGACTGGGGGTAGCTTCCTGTCCACCCCAGACCTGGCTGAGCTGACCAAGGCAGCTCCCCTCCCGCCAACCCCCCACCCCCCAATCTCCAGGTGTTCTTACTTGAAAAGCCATGTACAATGGTCCCGCCAACACTGTCAGCTGACCCCGCCCAGAGAGCGCCTTCTCAGGGAACAGGGAGATGAAGGATAGATGAAGGATGCCTTTCTCAGGCTTGGCTGACGTGCTTTATGCCCGCTCGCTCTTATGACAACAGAAGGGATATAAAAAGCTCGCTTACAGTTTCTTGGAAATAATAAAGTAACTTGGAGGGACCCACATGCCAAGGGGTCTGAAGATGGATGTCTGGCTATAAAAGAGACCTGGCTTCATATTTCATAAAGCTGTGTTTCAACTCTTGGGCAAGGGAGGCAGGAAAGTGGGGTTATTTTAAGAATGTTTTGCTACATGGCCAGAAGTGTCCAGGCCATTACACGATCGTGTTCAGAGTTGAATGAGAGGAACGACATTTCAGTTTTCTCCCTCAATATTCCTTTGGGGAGAAAGTAGTTTTAGGACTAATTGAGTGTAAAATCTAATAATTATCAGCTACCCCTGGATGGGGGGACTATCCATGTTCAGTCTTTACGGAGTAAGTGCTGTGTGTTGAGCTACCTGGATCAGACCTCTATGATACAAATGGGGAAACTGAGGCCCTGCCAGACACAGGACTTGTCTAAGACCCCAAAATAACCAAGACACAGGGACCAACCTAGGACTGCCTAGCTTCCAAATCTGTGTCCTGTGCAGACAGAACAGCATCATTATTTAAAAATGCTCTTGTTCATGTTTATTTGTACTTTAAAAATAGCACGATGGAAAAATCCCTTTAAGAAAACTTGGAAATCAAAGCTCCTGTGACAAAAATAAAATCAAAATTTAAAAAGACACTTTTTGGGACATACTGGGATGTATTTGTTTAAAATTATTTGCTCAACAATGGTTTTTCTCTGTATTGCTAATTTAAAATTTTTTAGTATTTGACAAGACAGGTCGGGAATTATTTGTTTAATTTATTACGGCAACATCTCAGTGTTTAATATATTTTCAACACCTTCCTGAAGTGGTATCTCACTTTGATGTCTGTTTCCCCCACCACTTTTTTTTTTTCTATTTAAAATTAGATGTTGGGTTAAAAGTTGTGGAAATGAAGGGCCAGTGTGAAGGTGAGGCTCTTTGCAGAATGTTTTATTCCAGTTTCTTGAGCTAATTTTATAAAAACTTTTATTCAAGGATAATTGATGTATGCTGAATTGCACTTAGTTAAGCATATATAAACAGTTCAATCAGTTTATATATATATATATATATATGTATATATATAAAATTCAAGGTAAAAATTTCCACCATCCTCCAATGTTTCCTTGCACCCTTCTGTATTTCATTTCTCCTTCTACCAACTATTCCTAGGCAACCATTGATCAATTTTTTATTTGCTTGATTTTCTAGAATGTTCTGTCAACATGTAGTTTTATGTAGTTTTGGGGTCCAGTTTCTTCCCCTCAGTATGATTTTGCATTCCTTCCCATTATTACAAATCGGCAGTTTGTTCCTTTCTATCACCGAGTCGTAGTCCATTGGGTGGATATACCTCAACTGCTTTATCCATTCACCCACTGATGGACATTTTGATGGTTCCCAGTTTTGGCTATTATAATCAAGCCGCTCTGGACATGAGTACTGGTCATGGTATGGATGATGGCATTTCTCTCTGGGTAAGTACCCAGGCCTGAGAAGAGGGGGTTAAGTGGCAGATGTATGAAGTCATAAGGGAGGACTCAAATCTAGGAACGCGTTCCTTATAAGGAGGGATCCCAGGACCCCTTCCCACCCCCACTTCTACTCTCCCCTCTTCACCCTCCTTCTCCTCTTTCCTCTCCTCCCCTCTCCCTGAGGCAGCACGCAGAAGAGTCTTTGTGTAGACACAGTGACAAGGTGGCTGTCCACCTGCCAGCAAAAGAAGCCTCACGGGGAGCATGCCTGCTGACACCTTGATCTCATATTTCAGGCTCCAGACTGTGAGACAATAAATTTCTGTTGCTCAGACCTCAGATCTGCGATATATTGTCTGAGCAACTGTGGCAAACTAACACGGGAGGGAAGGTGGTCCACAAGGGATGTGTTGTCAAGATCCTGAGCCCTGGGTGGTCCTGAGAAGCCCTGGTGAACCCAGAGTGTGGCCTAGTAGCCTTGAAACCTTCTGGTGGATCATG